CAGCTAGGTTGGTTGTGGAAAGCTGGAATTTCACAAAGAGAATGCATGTGCACGGTTTTGGTGTGGAGAAAGGAATAATCTGGAAATGCAAGGTGAATGATTAAATGGCTGAATTGGATTAAAGAATGGGAGTGATGGGTTGGAAATGATGGTGGGTTATGCACGGCAATGATGAATGGGATGGGTGGATTTGTTGATGATTGTGTTGGTGATGAATGCATGTGGAATTGCAAGGAGGAAGGTATGGTTATGGTTATGATAAGTTATAAGTGAATGTTGATGATAAGTGATAGTGAATGGTTTGATAAGTGATAAGTGGTGATGATAAGTAATGATATGTGATTATGATAAGTGATAAGTGGTGATGATAAGTAATGATATGTGGGAGTGTGGCTGAAATGAAGGAGTGGAATGTTGGAATGTTATGCACGGCTAAGGATATAGGAAAGGTTTAAATGTCCTAAAACTAAAGGGAACAAGGTTCCAACACTTTGGTCTTCAATTAGGTCTTCAATTTCGTCCAACACTTTGGCTCCAAGCATAAGTTATCAATCCTTAGCCCAAAAGTGCTCCAAAAGTCTCCAAAATGCATCTTTTGCTCCTTTAGCCCTTTGGACCTACAAATACAACGAAAATAGCTTAAAGTACTAAAATAACTAAAGAAACATAACGTAAATGCACGAGAACAAGTCATTTAAGTCGCATGAATATGCTCCTATCATCCTAAACTATCAATAATTCTTTCCCTTCATTTTCTCATGTCAGGTTGCATCACGTGCTGGTAGTAACCCGGTCGAATTACATGGAACAGTATATTCTGTCATTTGTATAGACTGTGGTTTTTCCTTCCCTCGGAATCTATTTCAAGACCAAGTTAAGGCCCTTAATCCAAAGGTTAGTCTTGTGCAGTTTATTTATACTGTAGGACTCATGTTTTTAACTTCTAATGTTATGTTGTTTTAATGATTTAGAAATAAACTTTATGAAGTTCTTTGATTTATAGTTATTGAAACCTTTTTTTAAGGGGTTTTCCCCCTTTCTGCTTTAGTGTAAAAATGACCGAATATTTCAGTGTTGGCACTACCTAATGAAATACTTTAGTCGGATATTTTAGTTAATCAAGTAGTATAATGGATTACAATTTTGTAAGAGAGAGGATTTATGGGAGAAAGAAGACAGTGAATGTAATTAGGGAATAATAATAGGGAACTTATAAGGGGTGTGAAGTATAAGTGTAGACGGATATTACTACAGTAGATGAGATTCGAATACATGAACCATAAGTGTAGATGGATATTACATATTACTACAGTTCATTACGGGGCACATAGATTTCTAAAGGGAGACCTGGAAAAGTCTTATCTATTGAGAAACAACCAATGCTTTGATAAATACTTGGTTTCTTTTTGGTAAAATCTGATCTGCCCAAACTGTTGGCACTGACCCCTATAATTTACTCAATAATTGCTCTTCCTCCATAAGCACCCTTTCAGAAATTTGTACATTTTCATTTAATGAAAATTTTCAGTGCACCTATAAAGTTTTGATGTATGTTTCAAGTATATTTAGTATTCCAAGTTTTCAACTAGAGAAAGAACAGTAAAAATTGACATGTTTGATGCTATGGATAGCGGAATAGATTGTTGCCTGAAAACTGACCCGGTGCACTCTCTCAGTCCTACCCACCCATGGCTACCCACCATCTGAGCCACCACACAAACTGGAGCACGCACACACACACAAACACACGCACACACATATATATATAGGCTTTCTATCCCATGGTAAAATTCAGCAATCAGAACAGTCTAGATTTTAGATTCTCATTCAACTGTCAACAACAACAACAACAAAGCCTTTTCCCACTAAGTGGGGTCGGCTATATGAATCCTAGAATGCCATTGCGCTTGGTTCTGTGTCACGCCTTCCGTTAGATCCAAGTACTCTAAGTCATTTCTTAAGAGTCTCTTCCAAAGTCTTCCTAGGTCTTCATCTACCCCTTCGGCCCTAAACCTCTGTCCCGTAATCACATCTTCTAACCGGAGCGTCAGTAGGCCTTCGTTTCACATGTCCAAATCACCGTAACCAATTTTCTCTCATCTGTCCTTCAATTTCGGCTACTCCTAGTTTACCTCGAATATCCTCATTCCTAATCTTATCCTTTCTCGTGTGCCCACACATCCAACGAAGCATTCTCATCTCCGTTACACTGATTTTATGTACATGTTAATGCTTTACTGCCCAACATTTTGTGCCATAAAGATTGCCGGCCTTATGGCCGTCCTGTAAAATATTCCCTTGAGCTTCAGTGGTATACGACAGTCACACAACACGCCGGATGCACTCTTCCACTTCATCCATCCAGCTTGTATTCTATGGTTGAGGTCTCCATCCAACTCTCCGTTCTTTTGCAAGATAGATCCTAGGTAGCGAAAGCGGTCGCTCTTTGGTACTTCCTGATTTCCAATCCTCACCCCTAACACATTTGAGCCTCCATTTGCACTGAATTTTCAATTGTCATTCCTGCAAAAAATTTCAAATCCAAAACTGTTGTCATCTAAAATGTGCAAAAAAGAAAAACGGTTTGATAGATAAAGCTGAAATTCAAATGAAGAAAATCAAACGGTTAAACAATTATTGATTTACCCATTTTGGCATGGATAAACATTGAAAGAGAATCTAAAAAATGAACGATTTCGATTGTTGAATAATACCCTAGAAATAGGATGTCAATAACTTAAGAAAGTTATGGACATCCTTAAGATAGAAAGCATTTGCCTCCTTAGAAAGTAATTTTATTTAAATTTTTTCGTTGAGTTATTTCGTGAATAATGGAGTGAAGTTTGTTTAGGTTGCAAACTCGTGTATTAATCAGAATGGTGGACTAATGAGCAAGTAAATTTCCTTCTACTGCAGTGGGCAGAAGCAATTGAATGTTTGGATTATGGTAACCCCGGATCACAAAAGAGCTTTGGCATGAAGCAAAGACCTGATGGTGACATTGAAATTGATGAAAAATTTTGGGAAGAGGAATTTCACATCCCTACGTGTCCAAAGTGCAATGGAGTGCTTAAACCTGATGTAAGACATTTGCCTAATTTATTTAACTGATAGGAACGTAAGTCGTATTTCTTCTTCGTCAAAAATGGTTATTCATATCTTGTAAAAAATCTCTATTAACGCTTAAGAATTTTCAGTATCATTCTTAATTGCATAATATTCTCATGCATTCAGTATTTCATTGATATGTTTCAGTAGTGGTGCTTGTATATTGAGTGAACCTGACCAAGAGGAACTTTGAAGGTCTATAGGCGGTTTTTTTTTAAGAAGTCAGAGAAAAAAAAGTCATTTTTAGGGGCCCTGTGTTTATTGCAAGTTAACATCAAGGTATTTTAATACTATAAGGGAGTGAGAAGATTTATTCTTTACGTTTTTTTGTAAATGCAAACATGTATGCATAGAGTCCGAGACACTGACAATTTAGTGATGAAGATTAACATCGATGTATTCCAATACAACAAGGGAGTGATTATATTTATTCCTTACACTTCTCTACACTCAACAATATAGCAAGATAAGCATTCACAAATTTTTCTGATGCAAATCAACCACTGTAATAGAAGTTGCATTAACAAACCCATGTTCATATGTACCAAAGCATATGATTCCTTGAGTTGAGAAAATGCAATTTTGTAGTTAGTAAACACAAATATAATATGTACGCAGTTAGTTCATTGGAAGTGAATGCTTGAAAGATGTATGGTTTTTGGTTTCTAATTTTTTTGTTGGATCTGGATTTTGGAATGTTTACCTCCTGTTGTGTGACTTTATTGCCTTTTATTAGTCTTTACTGGGTTTTGTCCTATAGTTGCTATCTTTCCATAGTTCTGTAAAAATTTCCAATATAAATGTATTGCTGAGTCTCATATCAAGTCAAGCAATTACAGACATATGTTCTAAGTTGTCATTTTAATGCTTTGAGTAGAGAAGTATCCTATGAGGTACTGTCAGGATTCAAAAGAAAATAAAATTGTTTGGAGAATGAAATAGCATTGCAGTAATACTGGTGGTCTCCTTTATTATATTATGTGTCGAATGTCACCTCTGATTTTTGAGCAAGTTCTAATGCCACCCTGTGGTTTATAGTTGATGAATTGATCCAATGCCCCCACAAACTTAGGTTTTTGCTTCGGTAGCCCCTCCATCATCTGTCTGTCAAAACTCTCGCATTACGTGATAATGACATGGTGCTCCAAGGAATTAGGTAACAAGTGCTGAACGTTTAAATTATTTCAATTTACTTTCCTACCTTTGTTCTTTATTGTGTTTTTTGAAACTCTTTCTCCTACTCATGTTCTCCCTCTCCTCCACTTAGTCTCCCACCACCACTCACCCACCTCCCGTCTCTTCCTCTTTCCTATTCCTCATACCATGACAACCAGACTCAGCTTTTGCACCCCACAGATTATTCATTACCAGCCCAGCTATCCTCCTTACCCAAACATATGGTATCCAGGCAAAGCCTCAATTTTTTATGGTCATCAAAGAAGTAAGTCAAAGATCCACTTTTGCCCCATTGAAACCGCAAGAAATTATAGCACCAATGACCATGAGCATGCATTTTGACTAGACATGTGAATCCAAAACCCCATACAACCACGGAGCATCCAGAAAATGAAACTCTAACACACTAACCCCCGTCCTCCCTCTCACTATTCACCGGCAACCGTGTTGCGTTTCTCCTCATAGCACCACCTTAACGTTTTTTTTTTTTTTTTTTTGGTCATATTTTCAAAATAAGAACGCTTATTGCATTATATTTTGGATCATTTTATGTATGCTGTGAATTAGTGATGGTGTCTAGATATGGATCTGCCTACTGCTTTGCCTAGAATTATGAGACTACCGGGCAGTACCATTGGGCACTGAGGAATGCTGAAGTAGGAAGAATGTAGGTGCTGTGGAGGGAGACTTTGGAAGGAGAGAGGGGAGGGTGCATACAAGGAAGGAGAGAGAGAGAGAGAGTGCGAGGAGTTTTAAGCAGAAAAAGAGAAGACACACTTGATAGTTTGCTTCTTAAGAAATAATATGGGTTGTAGGTATATTATGATTTCTTCATTTTAGAAATAAATAGGCAATGATGGGCTTCTTGAACCTGTCAGAAATTCGATCACCATGCAACATTACTTGAAATAGGAGTTGTATACCTTATGTCGTAACTTCTGAAAGTGAAGGTACTTGTATATGTCAGTTATCCATATTTTGTGGTATCATTCTGGAAATGAGTCACTTATTTATTGTGTAGTCATGCATGTGCTTTCTATGAATTCTCACCCACTTTTCATTGCACCGTTTTACTTAATAGATGTGTACGCTTCCAATATTTCGTACATCTCAATACACCTTTTTGTTGCATGGTGAATGTCAAGGTTATCTTCTTTGGTGATAATGTCCCCAAGGACAGAGCTGAGAAGACAATCCAATCTGCAAAAGAATGTGATGCTTTTCTCGTGCTAGGATCATCACTAATGACCATGTCTGCTTACCGGCTTGTCAGGTGCATATCTTTCCTTCATTTTATAGTTGTACTTTAGTTTTTTATCAAATCATTTTGTATGCCCGTCCTAATTCTACACCAGGTTCCCTTGTCATAGGGCATTTATAATACCAAAATCTAACCCAATTTTGTAAGATAAAAAACTTAAAACCATAAATGTATATGCCTTCGAGGCATTCCAATCACTTGAGGTTGGTTGCTTTATGCCTTAAGTCACTCTCCATTCTGGTGCTAGACAAGGTTTAACAAATTCTAGAACATCGATGTTTTCCGATGAGAAAATCTGATGTAAGCAAAGCAAAACATGTGTACGTAAACAATAAGAGTATTGGAAACAAGGTCGTCAATGCTTATTATTTATTCATTTTCTGGGGACTTGATTTTGTTTAAGTATTTCTTGTTTGTGTTTGGGATTTTTCATAAGTAGCTTTGACTTTCCGACTTTACAGAGCTGCACATGAGGCAGGTGCTGCTACTGCAATTGTCAATGTAGGAGTGACTCGTGCAGACGATATTGTACCTTTGAAAATCAATGCTCGACTGGGAGAGGTATAGCCTTTCTTGTTGGCAGATGGGTCTACAGAATGGTCTTAGCTTATCAGAATCTAACAAGCATTGCAATTTTACAGATTCTACCTAGAGTACTTGACATGGGATCCCTCGGTGTCCCTGCCATTGGTTGATTTGACCTGTAAAGAGGTGTTCTGATCTGTAGAAGCTTGCTTTGGGTTTATCAGTAGATATAGAAGACCACAAGAAATTGAGAGGTGCTGCCAAATTCTTTTAGTTTCTCAGTCTCTGAAATGAAAACATGAAAAGTTGTAGCTAGTCAATGCGAAGACAATGGATTTTCTGCGGGGGACGAGAAAGATAAAGATAAGGAGAACGTTGGATATGCCAAAAGGAAATAACATTGTTCGCTCCGCGTACATAGATGATCTGGTGTCCGTGTCATAGACGTTTATAGACCCCAGAACATGAAATGCCAGTGTGACTTCATTGAATTGCTTTAAAGAGGGATTTTATTGTTTGAGCCTTAGCATAGAGATTCTACGCATTGGACATGTTTGAAAAATGAGTATTGCGAACAGGTATTTGGATGATTGAAATTATGATATAGAAAAATTGTGATTATTGTTAATGTTACCCGTGAGGGTAGTGCGTGAGCACGATTGAGACTTGGATCAACTATGTATGTATATTTCCCAATGAGGGGCAAGATGGTAATATTGCACCCTCGGGAATTTGTTACTTGCTTATTGAGACAACAGTAAGTTGTTGGTATTGCGGGCAGCAGATCGTAATATCATTGACTTATTCGTTGGGTTCGTTAAGCAAATAGACAAGTAAGTCATTCTATGTTAGCATTTGTATTTACTTATTTAGTTAGTTATTTATTGTCTGGGCTCGACCCAAAGATGCTACATGTTCATTTTCGGGGTACGTAACGCAACAAGTGCGTAACTGAAAAATAGTCTATGTTTAGTTTTAATTTTAGTACAATAACTTTATGTTATTATATACGTATATAGACCCTTTCCTATCCTCTGGAGTACATTATGTTTAGTATGATTTCAAAATTTCAGGAAAGAAATTTTTTTAAGGTGGATAGATTGTGACAACCCGTTCCTAAAATTTCATTTTTATTTATTTTAATCAAGGGAATTGATGAAAATGCCCTAGAGGCAATGATTTTGACTTCTGTCGACCATCATCTAAAGGAACATATGACTTCTTCTTTTGGCGTATTTGTGTAATACTCGTTGGTACAAACGCATAGGCGAAAGCCGTTTGTGAGTCCGGATTATAACGCTATAGTTACAAACATTTGAAGTTGTTTCACTAAATTATAGATTTAAAGGAAAATAAACTCCTACCATGTGGGAATTGTAACCAACTAGAAATTAGGGAGGAAGGAGTGGACCAATCAGACAAAAGGGCAAGGGACCAATTAGATGAATAGGAGGGCAGCCAATCAAGAGGAAGGATCCCCCTCTTCCTATGCACTCCATGCACCCAGGTATGATCTGGCCAAAATTCCCACCAATTTCGCCATTTTTCAGTTGAATTTTTCACATCCATCACCTGCAATCTACTCCAACACCTTCCCTCTACCATCTCCATCCAAATTTAAGGATTTTTAGGTCCTAACCCGCGAGGAATTTCACCGGAGCACTTGAGGTGCTCAACGGCAATTCCTCCATTCCGGCGAGTTCCACCACCTAAAACGACCATTAATCAACTTCCCTTGGACCCAGGAACAAGACCCAACCAGTGGTAGAGACTTTGGAACACCGAGGAAGGAGAATCGAATTTCACCCATTTTAGGGTTCTGATGGGTTTGAGTGAAATTGGAGCCTTTCCCAGCCACATTAGACTTGGTCACTGGTATAAAATTTGCTCTACTCTTTGAGATCTTCATTTCTGTAAAATTTGAGAATTTTTGGAGATAGTTGAATTTTCTAGCAAATCGAGGCGGCCACCGCCGTGTGCGGTGGCGGCAGCTCGTGAGCCGAGTCACCCCTGACCTTTCTAAGCTAAGTTTGACACCCCAATTCCATAGGTGAAGTGCGATTGATGAAATCTCATCGTTTGAGCATAGTTTTGATAAAGACTGCTACTTGAACATTGTGTGAATTGACGATCCGACCGTTGGATCGTCACCAAACTTTTAATACATTATAGTATGTAATATTTGAGGATATTAGAAACTTACAGATTGGAAATCTGACATACGGATCTTCCTGAATTGGATTTGTAAGTGCGTAAAATTAAACGTTGACTGCCACTTGAAATGGCAATTGGCGGAGATCCAACCGTTGGATCATAATGAAACTTTAGTATGATGTTTTAGAAGCAAAATTTGGATCTTTGGAAGTTACGGATTGGAAATCCGAGATGCGGATCTTCTGGATTAAGTTACATAGGTTTATGAACCCTACTGTTGATCTTTGACTGACGGTTGACTTTTGGTCAATGAGTCTCAAATCATTCTAGAACGTCATTGAGATGTGTTTTACATAAGTTATATGTTCTATTGATAAAAGGTCTGAGACGTGATTGAATAATTGTTCTAGGTGAGGATCGTTCGTGACGTCTCGATATTCGTGCTAGGGAGTCATAGCGTGGACCTCAGGTGAGTGGGTCTTTTCCTTTTATCGTATGTATATCATTGATAGTTCCACAAAACGCTTTTAAATTGATTTACGCATTTTATGCCACTTCATATATATATATATATATATATATTTGTATATTCTAAAATACTATGATATGGTTGAGTTTTAGATTGCATTATGGTATAACCATATGCATATTACCTACATATAATTGTTGTGAATGCCTTGAAGTGCTAAAGTGAATGCGGGACGTATAGGTAAGTTTAGGTGATTATATAGTATTATTTGAAATGATTGAGTTAGGGCATGACTATATTAGTGTTTTGTGCAACTCCGACACTGTCGTACAAGTTGCAATGATAGGCAGCTCTAACATTGTCGTATAGGTTGCATTAGGCAAGTCCGACTCAGGTGTTGTCATGGATTGATTTATGAGTCGTACAGGTTGCATTAGGCAACTTCGACTCAGTTGTTATCATGGATTGATTTATGAGTCGTACAAGTTGCGTTAGGCAACTCTGACTCGTGGGTTACCATATAATGATGAGCACCTGATTTATATTGTTGTTGTCGATATGTAGTGATTTGGAATATTCTTGGATTTACTATTGATTTACATTTGATTTCATAATTATATGTAGTTTGATTTCCTGGAACCTATACAGGTATTACAGCGAGGGGTTATATTGTTTAAAAGGTCTTTATTAAAGCTTTATATTCAAGCCCACCCACTCTTGTTTTTATCCCTGCAGGTTCTAGTAGCAGAGTTTTCGTATCGACAAGGATTCGTGGCAAGTCTTGGTATTGAAGATTACCTTCGACGGTATGATTTTCAATCCACTGTACTGTACTTTACTTATGCTCTGATGTCACGTGTGAAATGGGGTCATTCCTGCTCACAGCGCACTCTCGTGTTTGGGCACTTTTAGGTTTAAATTTATTCACATATTCCACATCACCACACTTTATGGCTTCGTCACCTTCCAGGTGTCGGCCAGCGCATCTCAATTCGAAGTCCTAGTGGACAATTCAGGTCGGGATGTGTCAAAAAGGGAAGAAGGCTACATAAATGGAATTAGAAAGAGAACCAGGGGCAACAGGGAGGAGGAGGAGAAGAGAGGGGAGGCAACAAAATAGGAAAGCCATAGATAAAACCGGTAAGACATGCTGGGAAAATGGCAAGGACTGCCAAGACTGTAACATCAAAAAACGACAACCATAGGCTGTAGAGGGCAAGACACAAACAAAAGACTAAATAGGAGAAGAAAATAGAGGAAGTAAGGGGTTGCCTGCCAACCCCAACCAAAGGAAGGAGTCAGCGACTAAATGGAAGCGAAAAAGTGTGAGATCCCAAGAATATATTATCGAAGAAAGGGAATATTTGGGGAAAAATATGTAGCGTATTTATTGAGAATTTATTCATGAAAAGATAGTGGGCGTCATTGCGAGTTCGTAGTATTTTTTGGATTACCTTTTGGAACTCAGATGAATTTTTAATAAAAATTTACAAGTTGGACCAATGATGAAGGGCCACATGTAATCCAAGGTGTGGCTGATTTGCCACGTGCCAGTAGATGGGATGACCAACGAGAGGGTGTTAATGGTTAGTGTCATTGTACCTTGTCAACACATGGAGTAGAGATGGGCCAAAAGAAAGGGAAAGAAGAGATCAAATTTCCTTCTTGCATGACACATGGTGAGCTGCCATTGGACCTCAGAATTGAAGAGTGAGAGTTTGTTTTAGGCTGAGATAAACATTGGACGATCAAGATTAAATCTCAGTTGATTCAACGGTCAATAATTTTCTAAATTTCATTTAACTGTATTCAACGGTCAATAATTTTGTATATTCGGAATTAAATCTTACTGTAGGTAATTATAGTATTTTTCAATGGTACAAAATCATTAAATTAATATTTTTCTTATCATTTAACGGATTATCAAAGTGTACACCTAGACCGACCCATTATCTTAACAGGTGCTTATTGCGTTAACCGATAACGACCTGTTTCGTTATTATGCAGACCTGTAAACGTATTAATTTTGTGTCGGGTTGGAACGAAAAGGGTTGGAAAAAAGAAAAAAAAAATTGTTTTTAGGTTAAAAGTTTTAGATTTTAATCCATGGAGTTTTAATGAAACACTCTCGGTACTGTTCACTTTTAACGAAAATGATATTTTTACTCTAAAAAGTCACTCCTAGTGTTATTCACTTATAACACCTTTTTGTCCTTTTGATTAAAACTCAAAGTTTTCAAGCACTTTTCATTAGTTTTCCTTTTAATCTAAGACTTTTATAGCAATGACGACATCATTTTTGTAATTTTAAATATGAATAATGTAATGGGGCCATTGAACTACGTGAAGGGTGCAATTAGAACTGCTTTTCACACGAATAGTGAAAATAAAAGTATTCTATAGGAAGTTAAGGGTGTGTTTGTTGTACCGGACTATCTCGGACTAGACTAACTTGAGAGATGAAGTTGGACTGGCTTAGAATAGACTAAGCTGGACTAGCTTAGTGAAACGTTTGATGAACTGTCGGACTAAAAAGTAGGATAAATAATATTATATTATATTATTTAATTAATAAATATTAATATTTTATTATTATCCTATATTTTTCTCCCTCTTTACCTTCCTTCACCATCACCCTCTCCCTTTTTCTCTCCCTCTTTTTCTCCCTTCTCTATCCCACCCTTCCTTCTCCCAAATTAGACATCTCAATTCCAGTCTCTATCTCTCTCTTTTTTTTTGTCCATGATAGGAGCATATTTATGCACCTTAGTTTAGCTTGTCTTGTGCATTTAAAGTGTTTTTCCTTAGTAAAGTAGTCTTTTAAGCTAGTTTTATGTATTTTCAGGATTTAAGGGCAAAGTATGCAAAATGATGCATTTTGGAGCAAAATTGGGCTTGGAATGGATAGCATATGCTTGGAGCAAAAGGAATGGACGAAATTGAAGACCTAAAGGAGGATTTGGAGTTACATCCTTTCCTAAACTAAGTAATAAAGTCTTAGGATA